GATTGTACTTGTTTTTTTATTGCTATCTGGTTTTTGTTTTATCAGAAAAATTGCAGTATTATTGTAGGAAAAATACTAGTTTGCTTATTAATGACTTTTAGGTAATCAGTATTGTAATAATGTATATTTTTGTAAGGGTATATATTTGTTTGAGAAATTTATGTAAATGACGACGCATTAAAATTCACTAGAATTTTAATAACTCTTCTAATCTTGCTGCAGTCAGTAAAAGCGTTTTTTCCAATCCTCAAAATACTTAAAAAAGTAATTTTTTGTGATCTTGTTTAGCTCCTCCTTTGTTGCAGTTTTTGTCTCCTCTATAGTAGCGCAGCGTCGTCCTTTCATGGGCGTTTCAGTTTTAAAAACAAAACAAGTTACCATTAATGTTTTGTTTTTGGTCAAATACGAGGTATGTTCAAAAAGTATCGCCACATGTACTGCGTATTTCGCGGGCTACATGTATCGTATCTTCACCGACTTCTACTTACCTAATAGCGTAAGTGCAGTATATCAAGGGTTGATTACTTTGAAGGTGACAAAATAGATATACTTCAATAAATAAAAACGTTCTTAAGAAATACAAAATTCGCGTTACTTTTTGATTTGGAAAATATATTCTCAGTACTGTTGCTCTGGTTTCCCCTTTGAGAGAAGTCATCCAAAGTTTATTAAAATTTATATATTTGAGACTGATATTAAGGTAATACCAAAAGCTAACTAAGTTTGACTGATTAATTATTCGAGCAGTCTAAACATAAAACTCGCTAGAGGTCGCGCTCGTAAAAAGGCTTTTAAATCACCCACTTGTACTCACATTTAGAGTTCAAAAATATTAATTTTTAAAAAATATGTTTCTTTTATAAAGAAACATTTTCCGTAATAAATCAGTTAGTTAAACTAGAAGGTCAAGTTATTTAGAAAAACTGTTACGCTAATAGAAAAGAGCTTTGAAAGCTTTTAAAAGTCGACTCTAAAAAAGTTTAATAGTGATATATTTTTGTTCAATGTTTAAAGGCGCTGCTAATTTTAGATAGAAAAACGTCTGTCAGTAATGACGGATACAATTCTTAGCTCATTTAAAAATAAAATTTAATAAAATTTTAATAAAATTTATAACATGTTCAGAGCGACACTTAATCACAACATTTAGGCTGTTGTGTAGATAATCTCACTTTATACTAGATTTAGCAAGATTGAGTCTAATCTACTCGAAATCTGCCTGTGCGGCTCGGATTTAGCGCTATCTGTTTGTCACACTTTTTTTATTACAGTTGATTTTGACGCTACAAACTGTCAAAGTGAAAAAAAACAATAATTATACAAATAAAGTTAAAAGTAAAAAAATTAAAGCAATATCAAGTAAATAAGTAAAAATGGCAGAAAATAGTTTCATAAACAAGAATGAGGCTGCTGAAGCCGATCTAATAGAGTTGTGGCGAGACAAAATGTCACAGCTTCCATCGAGTAGTCAAAAACAGCTGGTTTACAAATCTCCAAAGGCAGTGCGAAGAGTCTAGATTAGTGAACAAATTATATGTAATCTAATCACTTAAAATGTTTGGTGTGAACATGGTATTAGTTCTATCAGCTAAATAATGCAACACGTGTAGCTAGCACACAATGTCGACAGCGGCAGTCATTTACCTAGAAATGAGCATGAGAGAAATAAACTTTCCATGTAAATACTTACTTGAATGCAAATCATGATTTATTTTTGTTGCCAAGTTGGGGATTCCGGTTGTAATTATACACTTAATGCGAAATTCGTTAGAAATATATTTATGGTTGAAAATTATATTATTTTACAGTTGAGAGATTTCGAAATCTGTATTAAAACTAAATGGAAGCAGCTTTAAGCACATTTTTTTATGCTTTCTGTATACATTCGTATAACAGCTAAGCTTTTTATCTGCTTATATCACCACAGACGGTATTTTTTATGCTTCCATGCTTTTTTCCGTTTACCGCTTAACTAACTAAAACTTAATTAGTAACGAGCACAGTTTGCTCTCTGCCACAAATTGAATGCAGCATGTGCTGTGGCATGTAATAAAGTATATATAAATGTACATTTATAGATGCTATAATTTATAAAAGGATGGTTCTTAAATTTCTAGCAGTGCTGCTATACTTTGAGTTATTTAGAGTATAGTTGCTTATGGATACTTCATCGATACCAGAATTAATGTATATGTCCTGTTTTCGACTACAGTGTAACTGATTTTACAAATGTGATAAAAACAAGATAAAACGTTAACTTCGGTTGGACCGAAGCTATAATGCCCTTCACAAAAACAAAATATTCCTTGCAAGAAGTGGATTTTAGTTGATCAGTTTGTATGACAGCTATATGCTATAGTGGCCCCGACCTAAATAATTTCTTCGGCGATTATACCATTACTTTCGGCAATATTCCAAGCGAAATTTTGTGAAGAAGATATTTCAAATAAAAATGTTTTCCATACAAGAACTTCAGTTTGATCGGTCCGTTTGTATAGCAGCTATACCTTATGCTATATATCTCTAAAATCGACGGTTACGACAAATGAGCAGCTCTTTAGGAAGTAAAGAACGTGTATAAGATTTCTGATCGATATCTCAAAAACTGAGGGACTAGTTCGAGTATATACAGAGAGACGAACAAATAGACGTGCAGTACGCAGCTCGTCATGCTGATCACTTATGTATATATTTCGTTTCCTCCTTTGTGTTATAAACTTCGTGGCAAATTTTAAACACTCAGTTCAGTTTATAAATTTTTTTTTTCTTATCCTTTTTGGGCTCATCAATCGGGATCTATATTGTCATATCTCTGATCGTCATGTCCCGGTCTCCTTTGGTTTTTTAAATTTAAGAACCACCTTAATGTAAAAGCATGTACTTGCATATCATATGTACATTTATGTGTTAGAGTTTTCTAATTTCTTACACACATTAGTTGTCATTCTCTTTTACATGACGTTTCCAAGTGGGTGGTTTTGCTTTTACTCAAAGCCTCTGCAATCTATTCATAAATAATTGTAAAGAAGTGTGCACCCACACATTGTGTGCAACATGTTTGTAAGTGCTTACATTTTAGCCTCTCTTCGCTGGCTAATTTGCCAACATCATTATTAGCAACATCATCTCCCCACTCATCATTGTCTTCGTGATTATAATTTGTACATCTCAGCGCCGCGTTGACATGTAGCTGTCATGTCCATTCCCGGCAAACAGTCAGCCTGACAACCCACCCATTCGGTTTTACACTCACTCTCTCACCCACAACAAGTTGGCCACCCACTCGGCTAACTCAAATCTGCAGACCGTACCTAATGGAAATCGTTGACTGACTATCAGTCAGCTTGTGAGCAACGAGAATGGAATACAGTTACAATCATTTGTCAGTTGCACTTGACGTTCTTTTGTAAGTGACGCTGGCAACATATGCATATCCGTTCGATTATTTCGTTTTACAAACAAGCACACATACATATATTCATTAGACACACATGCGCTTACCTTTAGAGTAAAGACAGTGTACTTGTAGCTGCAAAATAAAATTTGATATTTAAATCAACCTATATGTCTACAAATATGTGTGCTATGTCCATCCATACGACCTCAGCAGTCTCATGATAAGATACACTGGTTCGACAGTTGTTGCTGTCATTGTAGAAAAACGTGACTAGAAAATACTCACAAATTTGCAATATAACCTTTCATGGGTTGTAATGAATATTGAAATTCATCGAAATACACATGTGCAAGTTTTTAATATTGCTAAGAGATTTACGTCTGATTGTGCATGTTAGATGAGTCGCCCAGTATATTGGATTTTGCTGCACAAGTTGTTGTTGTTTGTAGCAGATTAAATCAATAAGTTCCGTTGAGGAGGCTACGATAGCTAACAAAAGGTGATTGAGGTTACTTGCAGTGGATGCCAGTAATTGGAAAAGTGGATGAAAGGTCTCTAGATTATTTAGCTGATAGCAAGGGAAAAGTGACAAAATATACAAGTTTTATTGCAATTATTCCGAGCAGCTATAGCTATACAGCATATATCATTATATTTTTTTTTGCCTCTGAAAAGCATGCAGAAATCTTATCAGTCAGCTGTTCTTATTTATAATTAAGTTTAAATTTTTCTTCATTTTAATACTTATGGAAATGAGTACTCATACCCATAGTCATACTCATATTCATATTAATACGCATGCTCATATTTATGTTCATACTCATATTCATACTCAAACTCATACTCATATTCTTACTCATATTATTTTTAATATATTTTTTTGTAATTCTAGTAAGTCAGTTATTTTTATTGATACTACAGTACTTACACTCATATTCATGTCCACACCCATATAGTACTCATTTTCATATTATGGATTTATCTCGTACTTATACTAATACCCATACTTATATTTATACTCATACTACTACTAATTTTTATATTCGTATAAATATAAGTAATGTATATTCGCGACCATGGTTTTATTCATACTCGTATTTATATGAGTATTATTAATAATACTGTTTTGAGTAGCTAAACTAATTTTCATACTTATGTTAGCCAAAAGTAATGGAATCTTTTGGCAATAATCGAAGCCAAATTTCGCAAATATATCTTGTAAAATAATAAAGTTTTCCTTACTTCAAGAACTTCAGTTTGTTAGTATTAAAAAAGCTACTCATTTTCACATTTATCTCAGAGTGATGCTCAGTGTTGTACTGAGTACTATTACACATAAAAAAATACTCTTACACATATTTTGACAAACTAGTACTCAATTTATTTCTCTCTCAACAATCTTGTTCGTAGGGGGTACGAATAATTTGTGATTGAGTTAAATTAAATACTTAAGGATATTTTTTCACATTTTCCGTCAGCTAACTAATGCAAAAGCTAAAAATACGATCATTTATGCTTTTATTTCCAAACTTCATTTAGACGTTGACTTATTTCTTAATAACTAAAAAATACTAAAATCTCATTTTTTCTTCACGCTTTTCAGACGGGTTCAACCCTAACACCCGAAATGTTGCTGACAACGTCCGAGTCATCGACGTACAGCGCCTCCGAAGTGGCTGGTCGTCTACAGGTCGACACGCGTACCGGTCTCAAATGGACCGAGGCTAAGTATCGTGCGAAAATTATAGGACACAATGAGTTGAATGTAAACGAGGAGGATCCTACATGGAAGAAATATATTGAACAGTTTAAGAATCCACTTATACTGCTATTGTTGGGCAGCGCGGTAGTTTCGGTGATCATGAAACAGTATGACGATGCTGTGAGCATAACGATAGCCATCATCATTGTGGTAACGGTCGCCTTTATACAAGAGTATCGTTCGGAGAAGAGTTTGGAGGAGTTAAAGAAGCTGGTGCCGCCCGAGTGCCATTGTTTCCGTGAAGGACGGCTCGATACGTTTTTGGCGCGTGAGCTAGTGCCCGGCGACGTGGTGTACTTGAATGTAGGCGACCGTGTGCCAGCCGATGTGCGGCTCTTCGATGCCATTGATCTGTCCATCGATGAGTCAAGCTTTACGGGCGAAACGGAACCGGCGCGCAAAAGCACAGAGCTTATACTGAGCAGTTCCACCAATAAGGATCATACAAATATGAAGAATGTCGCCTTTATGGGCACATTGGTGCGTTGTGGCAATGGCAAGGGTATTGTAGTAAGCACTGGTGAGCGCAGTGAATTTGGTGAAGTTTTTAAAATGATGCAGGCTGAAGAAGCGCCGAAGACACCTTTACAGAAATCGATGGATATACTCGGCGCACAACTGAGTTTCTATTCGTTCCTCATCATTGGCGTAATTATGCTCTTAGGTTGGCTACAAGGCAAACCTCTAACCGAAATGTTCAATATCAGCGTTTCTTTGGCTGTCGCCGCTATACCCGAGGGCCTGCCGATTGTGGTCACTGTGACGCTGGCACTAGGTGTCATGCGTATGGCCAAACGCAATGCGATTGTGAAGAAATTACCAACCGTGGAGACGCTCGGTTGTGTGAATGTTATTTGCTCGGACAAAACGGGCACTTTGACGAAGAACGAAATGACAGCGACAGTTATCATCACATCTGACGGCTACATGGCCGATGTTACCGGTGCGGGTTATAATGACCAAGGCGAAATTCATATACGCAATTGCAACAACGTCGAAATGGCGAAGGCAAACATCACGAACTTGCTAGAAATCGGCGCAGTTTGCAATAATGCTTACATACAGAATGGCACGTTGCTTGGTCAGCCGACAGAGGGCGCACTTATTGCTGTCGCCATGAAGAATGGCATGTATGCCACCGCGGAGAACTATGTGCGCATACAGGAGTATCCATTCTCATCCGAACAGAAAATGATGGCTGTCAAGTGCATACACAAATACAACAATAACAAAGAGGAAATTTTCTTTGCCAAAGGTGCTTTGGAAATGTTGTTGCCGCAATGCACGAAATACATGTTCGGCACACAAACGGTGCCATTGACAAAACAAAATGAGGCGGAATTCCTGGCGGAGGCCTATGAAATCGGCCGCAAGGGTTTGCGTGTGCTGGCGCTGGCGAAAGGACGTAGTCTACAGGATCTTATCTACTGCGGATTGGTGGGCATTACCGATCCGCCGCGACCTTTGGTGCGCGAATCCATTGAGATGCTGATGCAGAGCGGCGTGCGCGTCAAAATGGTTACCGGCGATGCACAGGAAACGGCCATGGCGATTGGTGAGTCGAGTACTTTTAGCTATGCTTTGATACTTCATTTTTAAAGTTGTAACTTTTATACGGTCAAAATTCATATCAAACGCAAATTTCATACCAATTATACGTGGTTTCCGGCATGCTGACCAAATTGTGTCGAGTATCAATGACAGTTCGACGCAATTAAGTTTATTTTATACCTGCGCTATTGGGGAATGATGTAGACGCTTTTAATTAACCATTTTTGCTCTTGCTTCTCTTGAAATTTCCATATATTGTCAGTCTTCCAATTTTCTTGTTCACCCGAAAATCAAAGTTCTTCTTCTTCGCAACTTTTGGCGCAACTCATACAAGAATTCCGTTCTGTGTACGGCTTTGCGCCGGTAACTTGGCAAACAAATTTGCGTTGTTGAGTAAACTGTAATTTATCAGCAGCAGTAAAGTCGATGAAACCGACGACAACCACTTCGTAAGTAACTATAACGTTACCAAAATCATTAAAGCTGCAATTTGCAGTCACAAATTGCGGCAATCGTTGCATACTTTTTATAGACATGCATACATATGGATATGTATAGAGGACCTGAGTTAACCCGTGCAGCTGGCGCTTATTTGCTTTTCTTTCAGCCGAATTGATGTAGCCAAATTCGTAGACGGCAGGCGTCCGTTCGTTGCGAACCTTAGACCTTTAAGTGCCTCGCCACTCTACACTGCAGAATTCGGGCAACACGCGCAGTAATCGTTACTGCTGTTGAGTAAATCACATTCATTCTCTATTTTTTCTTTTGCTTGTGTGTCAGCTGCGAATGTGTGGGCGTGCCGTATTGCTGAAAATTCGTAACTACCGTTGAGTCTCGAGCAGATTAAATGCATTTTTGTGTAGTCACTGTTGACGCGCTAAAGCGCTTGGGTATACCAAGAAATTAATTAACCATGTTGCCATTCGACTGAGAACTAGGTACAAGGATGCGAGGATGCAAATGTAAGGATGTGTAAGAGCAAATGGCAGCGGTAGATATGAGGAATACAATTGTTATGAAATTAGGTTAAGGGGCGTGTGGTAATTGCAGCTTTGGAAAACTGTGTTGGAAACAGAAGGGACTGTAGAACGTGCGGAGCAAGTGGCAGAGTGGTAGCAAATAACAACTTAAGGGGCCACTTGTGCAATGTTGCCAATGGTAAAGAATGTAATGAAAGAAATGGACTAGCAAATAGAAGCGCACGTAGCCAAGCAACACGATGCAAAGTAAAAGCGAATTCATGTGAATAGAAATGTTCGGACCAATGAATGACAGAAGGAAATGTCATAATGGAAGACTGTGGCGTTATACAATTTAGTAAAATGAGTAAAAGAGTTAAAATCCTGATAAAGAAGTGTTGTGGTGCAATGGTACGAGCATGTGGCAAGTGATTCTTGAGCAGAAAGTTATTTGCGATATAAGGGTTTGGTAATTATCATTCAGCAAACTCTGCTCTGATGGTCTCTGATTGTTTATATGTTTAGGTATTTATTAAGTTTTCAGTTTTCGGCCGAATATTTTAGGCTAATGGCATATGTATACATATGTTCATATACTCAACATAAAATATAAATTTTATATACTCTCACCATTTGAAATACGACTTTAGACGTGGAAGAAGTTTTCTTTGCGCTATGTCAGCAATAACGCGCTGAATATTCTCTTTCACGGCATAAATCGTCTTGAGCTTTTCTACGTAGACAAGCGACTTGTGGTGCTAAATCAATGATCTTGGAGGCCACGTCACAGGCCCACGAGGCAAAATAATGCGCTCACGGCAAGTTTCCCTCGATAAATTGTTTGTTTCGTTGGCATGTAGCGCTGTCTTATTGTAACCAAAAGGTGTTCACATCAATATCCTGCAATTCAGGCACGAAATAGTCATTAATCATGACTCTGCAGCGTTCCCTATTGACTGTTCATTCTGGTTAGTTACTTAGTAAATTTAAAATGAGTTGTGGTCGCTCTTTCACTTAACAAATATCTCTTGACTCGCTATGCAAATTAAGGTAGCAGAGTGAGAGAAATTAGCAGTGTGCATAAGTGGTAAGTTATATCTATAAAGAAATCTTTTAAAAAGTTACAGCTTAGACCAAAAATTTTAGTTTAGGTGTTCGCGCCTAAGTGTATGCTACGAACATTTAATTTAATCGTTTACTAACTACGCCGCAGGCTTAAGTGAAAATCGCTGCTTATACGAAAGAGTCCATTTATATCTAGAAACAATTGTTTCTACCTTTTTTCTTGTGCTACCTTTTCCCATTTGCTATACTCTTAGCTAGTATATCGTAACTCTAATTACACTTTTATCTTCATTTCTTTCTTCATGAATTTCTAGCTCATTGATTTTTTATTGTTTGCTGCTCGTTTATCGCTTTGTGTTTAAGCACGTTTTATGCTCATTTTTATTGTCATAATTTTTCATAGTTGAAAGGATGTGTAATAATCAGCGTCCACTCTTTACCCTTAGCATCCCTTTCGGCTATTGGTTGCTGATGCTCATTTGTATTATTTGATCGCTTTATTTGCTAACTATAAAGCTATCAGCCAGCAAAGCGCTTATAATGCTTTAACATACGTACATACATACACATACTCATGCAGAGATATACGAGTACATATGTGCTTTTACTCAAGTTTCGCTGTGTTCGTTGCAACTCTGTTAGTGGTTGAATTAATTAACCGAGAAAGGAGTCAGACATAACCTCCACTTTGTAGCCACAAGTATGGTATGTATCAAAATCGTTACCTTCGACCACAAGCACGGCATCTAGCATCGCCAACTTACAGACAAATAGTTATACTACGAGCTCTCCCAGCATATGTGCTTACATGCTAGCGCAGGCTTTAAACTTCATTTGTATTGTATATGTATAAGCCATGTATATACAAGTACATGTGTATATTTGTGTAACTTTAGCCATAGCGAAATGATTTATAGCAGACCATTAAACTTTGGCTTGACACTCGACTACGTTTTCACAATTTTCACAATGTCAAGTCGTCCTATAAACTATGTACACACACACATAGATATATATATATGTACATATACATGTTTAGATATGTAACTCAGACGAGATGCTCCATTCCTTCGTTGTGCTGTCTTGTTTGCAATTTGCTGCACCTACTGCCCCAACGTTCCCCTCTCAAGTCCTAGCAACTTTACGTGTGTCCTACCATCGGCGGCTGTCTGCTTTGTCTCCTATACTTGCGTAGCGCTTCCCCAAGAGCCTGTGTGTCTGCTCTTTAAATTTTCGAAATTCCATTTTCTCTTTCCCCTAAGAACTGGAGAATGTATGAGCTGCAAATAGATTTTTAATTCGCTTAAATGATTTTCGTTAATGTGTTTTACAGCATCACCATTAATTTGCTTCAATTTCCGTTTAAATGATCAAATTGGTGATTTTGGTTTCTAATAAATATTTTGGGCGACTGTTAATTTGATTTAGTGCTAGATCTTACAATGAAGCTCAAACGAAAAAATTATTTTCACTACCAAGAAGCCAAGATGGCGCAAGACGAAATATAGGAATCCACGTTCAGCATAAGTATTTGGCAATCCTAGTCTCATAAACATTTCAGTGAGTCAGTTATTTTAATATCCCATCCAAAAGTCTTGCTCAAAAATAATTTTCTAAAGTTATGCGCTTTGTGGATTAAGTATAGTCTGATCTTGGAGCCTATAAAAATCAACTGCAACCAACATTCTTAAAGGTTTAGATTATTATACTACAGAATTACTATTGGAAAATCAAATATATATTGATATCAGACAACGGGCCCCTTATTTTCTTTTTTAGGAAACCATTATTGCTGCATTGAGCCACTTTAAAAAATCCACAGATTCCCTGTGTTCGGCTAAAAAGCAGAATGTTTCATGCTTCTTTGATGTTTTCTTCTTTTTGCTTTCTCAGATTTTAAAAGGCGTTGCTAGTCAAGGAAGCTTCTTAATTTCTATATAGCTTGTAGTAATGAAAGTAGTGTGCTGAAATTTTTCTTCTTCAACTGTCTTAAAATTTAAGAGAACAATGTAAGGATGTATTATCTTTGCTATTGGGAACATTGCTCTTTTATATTAACTGCTCAAGAGCTCATTCAGATTAATTTGATATATTTGAGGTTAAGAACCAATTTCCTTTTTATGTCTATTGGACCAATCTTTGGAATCACCTTTTTCAAGCGAGCTTTCACCATTCTATCAATTAAATAATGCTGTTAGGACTTTAAAGTGTATTTTTTTTTTGCAAATCCGAGACTAACCTCAAGCTTTTAAAGCCATTGAAAGGAATTCTTATGCGTTGGAGAAACTCAAGTTTCTAATTGATTTGTCTTAACTCTCGTTGGCTTTATAAACCTTGAAGTTTTTGTAAACTCTTCATGGTTACAGACATATTTAACATTCTTTCGCGTATAACTCAAAACATCACGACGCCACCTTAACCGCATTGCCATAGTAAAAATTCAACGCTTCACTATCAAATCGACCCATTATCTATTCTACGACTTCAACGGTTGCATGTCGTTTATATTTTATCTCTTATAAACATTAATCAATTTGAAATGACGTCATTAACTAGCTTCTCCAACAAAACCAAGTAATTATAATTGCTTGTAATGCTGGTGCGCATATATATAAATATATATAAGGTTATATTTAGATTGGCCTCTAATGAAATGACCCGCAAAGGCATAAACTCGCAACCTAAAACCTACTGGAAAATCTATGAAATTTACAATGAACTTTCACCACTACCAAAGTGGCACAGCCGAATGCGGTGAACTAGACATAATACGCTGGCCCGTGCAGCGCACAGTCGCAGTTACATATATTTGGTGTATCAATGTATAATATATTATAGGCAGATAGTAGAATTTTATCACCCAAAATGTCATCGTGTGCACTGATTACGTGCGGAATGTAAACGATTCTGCAAACTTAGATATATATGTACAGGGTGAGGCATTAAAGCGTAGAGTTTGTAATAATTTGGATATTAATGA